AGGGTGGCTGGGGAGGGATGTAGCTTGTGTGGACAGGGAGAGTTTGCCCACAGCTCACATCCATGGCAGGCAGAGTCTCCTGCCAGTGCTCCTGCAAGCCTGGGCTCTGCACTTCTGCCCTGTACTCCTACTCCATGCCATTGCCCCTGTCTACCACTGATGCCCTTCTCTTGCCACTCCCCCTAGCTGATCTGGCACAACATCCCAGCTGCTCCTGCAGTCCTGGTGCTGCAGCTGAGAACCACATGATGCCAGAGTGTGACAGGTGGGGAGGGGGTGAGCAGGAAAATGGCTGCGGCATGCAGGTGGGAGGGGCAGTGAGTGAGTGCACAGAGTACAGAAAACAGCTAAACAGGAGTGTGGCTTCCACAGGGCCAGTGCCGGTGAGGCCCACAGCGGGGCAGCAGGAGCATGGGGCTGGGCTGCCAGGGGCTCTGTGGATCCAGGCTATGCTGCTCAAGCAGGGAGAGCAGGGAGCCAGCTCAGCTCCATAGAGTCCTGCAGCACAGCCCTGTGCTCCTGCTGCCCCACTCTGGGCCCTGCCAGCACTGGCCTTGGCACCCATGCTCCCACCCAGCTGTTGCTCCGCACCACACTCCCACTCGCTGCCCCTTCCCACTGCAGCCATTTCCCCACTCCTTCCCACCCACCAGCACCACATGGTTCCCAGCTGCAGTGTCAGGACTACAGGAGCTGGCACAGCCTACTCTAAGGACTGGGGCAATCACCTACAGTCGTCCCCTGCCTCCCCCCTCCTCCTTCTTGTCTGTATTTCCCTCAGTGAAGGGAGGCAGGAGCAGTCCCAGGTCAGAAGCCTTCAGTAGCCTCTGCCAGGCAGAGACTTCCAGCTGGGTGGGGCTGGAGGTGGGGCCTCGCTGGGCCAGACTTGCTGCAGTGGCTGTTTAGTTCTGCCGCCAGCTCCCTACTGCCTCTGGCTCTTGTCATCTTTGACAGGCAGCCATGAGCAGATAAATATTAATTTTCTAAATTTTTAGGGGCCCACGGGCTGGATAGAATGGCCCATGGGCCATATTTTGCCCACCCCTGACCTAACCACTGCTACCACTTTTCCTCATGGTGGCACAGGAAAACAACTGCTCCTGAAGCCCCGCCATGGTGCAGAATTTTGCTGCCAAAGCCCAATTTCACAGGGCAGATTAAATAGCTCTACAGGCCAGATCCAGCCCACAGGCTGTAGGTTGCTGACCCCTGACATACAGTAGTGTTGTAGTAATGCCTAAAGGCTCCAGTTTAGGATTAGGTCTCAAAGTTGTCAAGAGGTGCACCAGTTCAATTGGTGATATGCTCCCTGCACCAAATAGTGTTAAAAATAGCAGTAGTTTAATATGTAATACATTTATGTAACAAGCAATGACTTTAGTGCTTACTGCTTACCATTTGTTATTAGAGTTCAAGATATTGGGTCTTCAGGTGCTGATAGACAATGCTATAGCAGCACCTTCACGAGAGGCTTTTAAAATTTTTGTCTGGCAGAAGTTTCCTACAGCTGTTTTAGATGTAGATCTTGCTACCATCATCCATGGTAACTTTAGATTAGATTTCAGCAGTCCACTCTATTTTTGGCTGCACCTTTGACCAGCCCAGAAACTGAAGATGCTGCTAAAGACTGATGAGGCATGTTTGGTTAGTGTGCGTCTTAATAAGGACACGTGAGAACATCATGCCTTGAACTACTCCAGTTGGTTATAGTTTATGGTATTGGCTTTCATTTACAGAGTTTGGAACGGCTCAGGTCCACCCTGGTTGAGAGATCACGTCTTTTCCTATCCTGTATCCTCTCAATTGCATGAAGCAACAAGGCTTTCTAGTGGGAGCAGCCACTAGAAGGAGTTAGAACCAGTGGTTCACAAACTATGGCCCATGGACTTCTGCTCCATGAAAGAATGTAGCTGGTCCATGTATTGTGCCTTCCTGTGCTGACAAACAAAAAGTCAATAGATCTTATATACCTCCATGAGCCTAGCCATTCATATGAATCTTAGATCTACATAAATTTGAGTTCTTTCTGCAAATCTGACGATTCAGGCATAGACATAGCTTTAACTGTTTTTTCTACATACCTCAAGGTACCAGGTGGCTCATGGTTGCTGAGATGCTGCTTTACTATTGTGTAAAGAATAAGTACAGGCACCAGAGTTAACAATGGGTCAGCCCCTACTGACCAAGTGGAATCTCTGTGTATGTATCAACACTCGTGTATGCAGTGATCTTGTATCACAAGATTAGCATAGTTAAATTCTGCACATTTTATTAATTTATAGAACAGGATCTCAAAAGTCTGTTTCACAGATAGAATGTATCCTAATGCTGAATTTCATCACATCTTTTTCTTGGGTACTTTCTTTCTAATGATTAATGCCTCCAAGAATATCTTTAGAAGATATTCAGACATGAGACAGATGAAAATTCCTCCTCCTTTCATTACAGTGGAATCAAGGGTCATGATATAAAAATTTAAGAGATATAGCACCGGTTTCTGTTTCATTTTAATCATGTGAACTAATTCTTTAATGAAGTATGCAATGAAAATTCTGGGAATATTCTTAACAATTTGATTCTTTAACCTGGCTATAGTTCAGCTTAATCATTTTAAATTAATTTTCAATTGACAGATTACTTAGTCAGTTAAATCATTAATACTATAACATCAAGAAGTAAACTCTGCTTCTTGCCAGGATGGTGAAATTATAGAATATGCAGAATGTTACAGACATTTACAAAATACAGGATCATTGATCAGCCAGATATGAGGTTATTATCACTTTGGTCTTAGATTATATAGTTTTTAAGGAACCATTCTGAAGTGCTTTGTCTGTTGTCAAACTGTGTTCTGACATCAGATTTGTCTGTGCCAAGTTTGCCATTAAAAAAAAAAAGGAATAGAAACCTTTTTTCCTACTTTTTAATTTTATAAAGGCATTCTTAAAGAGTGTTTTAGTACAGTGAGATTATTCTAAGGTTTATAGAATCATTTTTCCATTTTCCCTCCTTGATAGGCAGGGAAAGCCTACTTCACCCCCTCATAATAATAGTTAAATATGTGTAGCATTTAGTTTGGTGTATATAAGTTATTCTTTTTACTATTGCATGTTAGGTAAAACAACTGTTGATCAAATTTGGGCAAAAATGATTAATTTGTCTGTAAATTAATTATTTAAGCCATTCCAAATTATATGAATGATTCATGATTTCTAAATATTCACTGAGTAGTCTATATAAGTGGGGAACAAGACTTTCTTAATACTTTTTGGCAGTGCTTTTGCCTCAAATGAGCCCTGCACCCTCCTCGAGCACTACTCTGATCCCCTTCCCCTGTTCGATCTACTTTGCTTTCTGCTCCCAGTCTTCTGCTCCTTGACTGATCTGCTGCTCAGTTTTCTGCTTCATTTCCTATGTTTCCTGCCTAATTTGCTGCTTTGCTTTTTGTTTCCCCCCTTATCTACTGCTGTGCTCCCTGTCCCTTCCTTGATCTTCTGTGTATCACACATTCACTGCTTGTTCCACTTGTGCATCTGTCTGTTTAAATAATTTTCAGCTTATTCACATTGAATATTTGGTATTCATTAGTCTTGGTGTGTGGTGACTAATCTAAGTGACATAGAATTTTAACTTCCTGACTAAATCATGTAACCATTCAAGCTTTATTTTTTTTTTTTTTGGGGGGGGGAGGGGTTGAAAAGTAGAATATATAACAATAATTAAATAATAACAGATTTAGATTAATAGAACAGCAATACTCCTGCTCTGTTATACCTTTACCTTACATGTGTGTGAGTATTCCCGTACAATATAGTTATTTTCTCAGGCAGATTTACAAACAGAACCTCATTAGTGCCAAAGTTGATAGTTAATACAACGACTGTGATTGATCTGAAAGCCCATTCAGAATATGAGTTAAAATTTGATTGCTTCTTTTGCTGTAAGCATAGACAAATTAAATCCTCAGCACACAAAGTATATATTTTTTTTTTTTTTTGCATCGTGATAGTATTCTCTTTAATTTCTCTTTCTACTTTGTCACAAGAAGAGGAGAAAAGCTCATTTAAGAAAAGGCATCCTGTATGGCAAAAATTCTCTAGTGTTAAAGTTCAGTGTAGTGTGGTGAATATATGTTCAGTAGACATAGTTTACACAGCCTACAATACTCCCTTTTATTCTTGTCTCACTCTGATGCTCTTTCTCCCTGTCTGAATTCTAAAATAATATTCAGAAAAATCAGAATGACATGAAATATTTGAAGTATTGCATAATTGTATTTCAGCTGCATACATTGTTTTGTAAGTGTCATACCTATGGAGAAAGACTTTACTAGTCAGCTATTTTTATTCAGCTTCAAATGAGAATGAATCATAGATTAAGATTTTTCTTTCATACAATGGAACAGTGCTGAATATATCTTCTATACTTAAATATACCATGAACAGGGTTTCTTTACCCTCCTTTTTTTCTTTTGTCCCCAGTTTACTTATTTATTCACTGCAAGGGCTTAACTCCTTCATTGAACCAAATCTTTCTAGCAAAAGCCTCTGTATATGTACAATACTTATAATATGAGCACAAACAGTGATTTTCAATGAGCTATCCTTACAAGAGCATACTTTCTAAATCTCCCCCTAGCTACTCTATATGCTTTAAAAACAAACAAAAACCCTTTTAACTCAGTTTTGCCTTGTCATTCTAATGAATTAATGAGTTCTATTTTTGACCTACTATTTACATCATTGACATTTTTCGAGATTTTCCAATATATTGTTTATATTAATAACCCTTAGGCCTTGGAATTGTGATCAGTGAAAGAGAAATGACTCTTTGAAAATTTTTTGTTTCCTTGCTACAACAAAGAATATTGAGACTTTTGGAAGCAGTTTTTGGAACTGCTGGCATGCCCAAATAAACAGGGGAGTTCCCATTGTTATATAGAAAATCATAGGGGTTACAGTTGCAAGGTAATAGACCAAAGGGATATGTAACAGGCTCACCTCACAGGGCAGGGTCTCAGTGCTGGCTGCCCACCTGTTCAGGCTAACCCCTGCCTCGCTCACTCACCATACCTTGTTGATAAACAATAGTAATGCGGTTACAAAGGTGGAAGGCTACCCGTTTTTTGCCCTCCTCATGCCAAGGGCCTTAGTACATGCTCCAACCTCTCGTTACACATGTACCATGCCTTGCAGATGGCATCTAAGTTCTATCCAGTATTTCTATATTTACACATCTAGTAATTTATATTGTTGAATCCAGTAATTCTGTGTTCCCTCATTTCAGTATTCTGCATTATCTTGTTAGGTAACTCTTTGTCACATCTGGTAATTCTGCGCTTCCACATTCCGTATTTCTGTAGTCTCTCTTTAAGTACTTCTACCCCTTCACTAGGGCCACTCATTTCTACAGCCCCTCAACTGGGCCACTTCACAGACCGGCTACCTCACTTGGCCACTCTGCACTCTGGTCCTTCACTCACTTGGGTGTCAGTGGGACTCAGGTGGCTAACGCCATACCTGGCCCCTTTCACTGAGGTCTCTGGCCCCCTTTAATGGGGTCTCTGGCCGTTTGGGGCTCAGGTGGTTAACACCATGCCTGGCCCCCACTACACTTTTCTCAGGTGTCGCTCACTGGGCTTGCCTGGCCCTGCTCCCTTCCAGTGTTGTAACCCATCCACAGGCAAGAGTTGGAGTTTTCAGGTGCCCCTCCTCACCTTTCACCAGGGAGGTAAATGGCCTGGCATTTCTTGGGAATTCCCCTGCCACAGAGAATCCCATCAAGCCACCCTTCCCTGGCAAGGTGCAGTTTCAGGTCATGCCCAGGACTGGTGAGGCCTCCTCTTTCCCCATAGCCTCTCCCTTACCTCCAAGGAGTTTCTTAGCAACCACTCAGTCAGTGTTGTTATTCTGGTCTTACGGGACAGACTGCTGCTTTCCCTTCTGAGGTCCTGGGCTAAAATGGAGGCTACTCCACCCCCTCAGCCAATCCCATGGCCCTCCTGGGGTCATGTGCTAGCTTCAATGAGGCTAGCACCCACCTGCCAGCTGCTCCACTGCCAAATTCAAACCTTAAAGTGGCAGGCATGCAGGTGCTCTGTTACAGGAGTAAACAGGTAAAAGACAAAGGAATATCAACAATCATGGTAATATACACTCAGTACCTTACTCCCCACCCCACACCCACACTTCCAGAGGTGTCCCCAAACAAGCCTTTAGACCAAGAGCACTCAGACAGCAGCAGCCTGGAGTGCCCTTCAAGTCTGAGTCCACACAGTTCAGACTGACCAAGTCAGTGGTGTCCCAAGCTCTACTGTAAACTTCTGCTATCTATGGCTCCATGTATATAGGTTACAAACACTGACATCTTGCTTTTAGTCAGGCACCAAACTGCCAGTACTGCTTGCTTCTTCTTCCTTCTTTCCCCAGTCCCCAGCTCCCTGAAGGCAGCTGGGAACTGTAGTCTAAATTAGCAGTTGTCACAGTGCTGCTGCACCCTGGTTCTGGAAGCCATCTCCTAAGGAGCTTATTGGGAAAGGAAACATACAATATAAGCCCTGATTATCTATAAAAATACCTTGTTCATTTGCAAACCAAATAGCATAAAACTTAGTGTTAAAAATCATAAATAATGCACCCAAAGATCTGAATCTGGCCTAAAAATTATATTTTGAAATATGTAATAACATTTCTGTTTGCAAACAATAAAACAGTGTGTATAGGATTCATGTTCCCAGGGTTTTCTTGACATCCATGATGTCTCAATTTTTTGTTTTTAACTAAGTGAGTCAAAGCTCAGATTTTCTCTTGTCTCCAGGACCTGGCCCTTTAAGAAAACATCAACTATATCAGTACTTGTAATGAAAACATGTTGCAAGGACTGGCATCAGTGAAATTCCTCAATCCACAAGACTTTCTTGATACTTTCAGGGCACCTGGAAGCTTGCCAATTGGTGACTCCTGTCCACTTCATTTGGCAGGCAAACCAATCCCCTGACAAAATTATCACACAGATATTATGCTAATTGAAACTCACAGGCTTCAGGGCATGATCATGTTCTGTTCTATAATTGCTCAGCAATTAAGAATGATTATTTGTATGAAGATTTGCTATCACTATCCTCTTTTTAAGTGGAAATATATGTGAAGCATTATATCTGGTACCTACTAAGAACTAATTACAGTAATCATGTAACAGCTATAATACCTGTTCTGTGTGATACTGCATGTGAACTTACATGATGTTCTAAAGTATTCAGCAACTGAGTCTGAGTTTTCAACATTCATGTATAAATGCTTGTTTCTATTCATTTCTCTTATCATCATGTTGTTAACTTTTTGGTTTGTTCCTATTATCCAAATATCAACACAAGTTCACATTTACTGGAATTTTTCCTAAATAAGAACTAATCTTTAAGTTCATGAAAATATATCTGCTTAACAGGTGTAAATATATAAATCTCAGAAATGGTTTATGTATGTGAAGTGTATTTCATATGTTGAGATAACAGCATGAAACTAAAACCGATTTGCAGTAATGTTACACAATTTCATACCTTAACAAAGTTTGTTTGTTCAATTCTACAACCCTAAATGGTTTAAAATAAATGGATCGGTGAGCATGGCTTGTTATAATTCAGCTTGACTATATTAGTATTTTCAGTTGCCAGCTGACAATTGATTTATAAAGGAGGAAAAATCCTTTTTGCACATGGCTTTGTCCTAGGTAGGACTAACAATGTTGCTAATGGTTTGATTCAACCAAATGCACAGGCTAGGGATAGACATTCAAAAAGCCTGAGTTGGCATCTAAATTACTTAGTCTTCTGTCAGTGGTGTAGTGAACAAAATGCACATTTGCCCTTTGGTGGGGCCGGGGGGGAGGTGAGAGAGGGACAAATCTAAGACCTGATTCTGCCTTTTAAAGTTAACAGTGAATTCTTTTTTGTGCAAAGTGTGTGCTGGTTTCTGCTTTTAAAATATGCTTTTTAAAATATATCAGTGGTTGCTCAAAGCATTATGCCGTAGAGAGAATTTATTGACAGCACTGACTAGATTTATGGGCTCAGTCTAGAAACATATTTAATGTCTGGTGTTGTAAGAACTGAACTGCTTTCTTAGGTGAAGTGCCTTTAAAATGTCATAAATGTAGACAAAATGCAAAAAGTTGTGGTATCCAGTGGGAAAGCAACAGCTCCTGGAAACCTCCTAGTTTGGATTTTCCTTTGTAAATCTTCATAAGTGTTTCCAAGGCATTATGGTTACTATTTACTTCAGGCTAGTGTTTTTATGTTTCCATAGGGAAGTTGTATTTTAATCTACAGTAACAATATGATGATAAAAAAACACAGTTCAATGGGTTTTATATAGAAGGATAATAAAACAAAAAGGCAAAAACTAAAAAAGAAACAAACAAAAGAAAGAACCAGAATGTTTCCCTTGTTATACTGAGTTCTTTCTTTCTGTGTATTTTCTACAAAAAGCCATTCTCTTATCCTGTTGTTTCAACTTCCTCCTCTTGTTTATCTTTTTACTGGCCTTTTCTTCTACATCATATCAAACACAGACTTTGCTTTCAAGGTCCTTCATGGCCTATTCCTTCCTTTTCATATTTCTTTCTGTAACAACAGGTTGGCTCTCACTTCTGTTTGAGGCATGATGCCAGCCCCCCATCATTTATTCAGTTTTCTAATAGCGTCTCTGGCTTTCTCCCATGCTGCTGATCTTATTTGGGAGAAGCCACCTGAAAATATTCACAAAGCCATTTTATTGTTCTCTTTCAAATTCTTCTTTGAAACTCACCTTTTCCATGATACAAAAAGTGGCAGAATTGATGCTGCTGGAGTGCTGAGCCCTCTCCCTCTTCCTATCTGCCCTACACCACGGATTCTGTGTGCTGCCCTGTGCTGCTTTCACTGTCTTAATCTTTGGTAGATCCGACAGCAACCGCTAGGAATGAGCCTAAAGCACACTCAGTAGCAAAGTGCCATATCTGGAGTGTTTCAGTAGATGCAAGTGGCTAGAGCATGTTCGGCCGAACCCATGCTCTCTGAGACCCATTGCTTCAGTATAGGCAAGTTCTGAGTATCTCTCATTTCTCTCTTCTGGTTTTTCAATTTAGACCAAATTGAAATACCAACCAGAAGTGCATCCATTATTTCCTAGAACATTTCCTGAAATTTTATACAGATGTAACATTCAAAAGTCACAGAATTGTAGTGAAGTAGGTCTGGAAGGGACCTCCATAGGTCATCTAGCCTAAACCCTTGCCAGAGACAGGATCATTCCTATCCAAACCAGTCATTGTATTTCAGGCAAATAGAATCCAACAGTCCAAATAATTTCAGTGCCTAGTCACATGAGAATTTTATTTGACTTCATTTTTTTTTGCTGCCTGACTCTAAAAGCCTATGTATTCTTCAGTATCATTTTAAAAACTCTGATCACAATAAAAGTGGGCATTGCTCCAAATAAAACCAGACCTTTAATTTATGCAATGCAATATTTTCACAGCATTTGTAGCAAAACTGCCAGTTTTTTCTTTTTTTTGTTATTGTATTTATTTTAAAATGCATTCCCTCCCCTTCCCCAACCATTTCTGACCTTTTCTCTCCCTCTCTTTTCCCTATAAATAAGTATAAGTAAGCTAAGATGTAGGATAAGCTTTAAACATTTTTATTTAGGTAGCAAGTTTTTGGTTTTGGATATTCACTGTTTTATATTGTATAATTATTAGGTTTGTATTGATTCTTACTGTTGTACATTGTATTATCATCATTTTCATATTGATTTTTATTGTTTCATATGGATATTGTATGGCTTAGGCCTGTGTTTGTAAGTGAACCAAAGTCATGTCAAGTTTCCATTTTATATGTCAAGTCTCTATCTTCTGTCCTCTGCCTGGGCATCCCATGTTGCAACTGTATGAGTCACGTACCCCTCCCA